AAAACATTAAAAACTAGCAAATAAAAAATGCGTTTTTTACCCAAATTGACTATATTACTTGAAAATTTTCCAAAACTCTTCATGTTAACATATTGGAAATTTTAATACCTTTTCAAAACTATGCAACACTTTATATCTTAGATACTTGTGTAAAGAACTATTTGAGAAATACAAAAATTTTAAACGATTTTTAACTCAATTTAACCTCCAAATGGCTTCAATTATGTTAAGTTCTTATTGATTTATGTTTAGGAAAAAAACTAGGAGCAAAACTAGACAAAGTAGTGAAAAAAATGAGAAAAAGAATGCATTTTATGAAATTCTAAAGTCAAATACTTTATTTTTCAATTTTTTTTTGAAAAAAACTATTTTTTTAAAAAAATGATCATGAAACTTGACAAAACTATGACATATTTATACTCAAAAGACGCGTTTTGAAAAGATCTATCAATCTAACTTAAAAAAATTAAATTTTATTTAAAACTGAAATTTTTATGATTATTTTTCTTTTTTGACCTTGCTCGACATACGACTTTCAGAGTCAAAAAAGTGCTCTTTGCCAAGAGAACACTTGTTCATTTTATTGCATTAATTGATAGTATATCTAGAGAACTTTTTAAATGTGAAATAAAATTCCACTACCATGGGTATCCCTGAAGCACTACAGCGATGTTTGTCAAAAAATTGGTGTTTTTTTTACAAAAAAATTTTTTTTCACTATAAAAACTTTGTTAAAATTATACGACATGTATGCAAAAGTTATAGCTTTTGATGTAGTCTTTAATATAAAAAAGAAATTAGTAACTTTGGTTGTGCTTGTGAAGACCTACACAAACGAAAGTATGACGAACACGTGGTTTTTGAGAAAAATCAAGTTTTTCACAAAATTTTCCAAAGTTATTTGCAATTGTTTATATTTTAAAATAAAGTAACAATTTAAAGCTATTAACAAAAAAAATTTGAAGGAGATTCATCCATCCAGTATCTGGTGAGAGCATTTTCAATGTAACGTGAAAATGGTCGTCTGACCAACTTTGAAGTGCCATATCTCGGACATGCTGTCGACTTGGGCAAAGTTTTAAGGACGTAAATGTAGGGCAGAATAAGAACTATCATATAAGTTGTAGAAATAATTTTTGGAAAAATTTTCCATTTCTGGCCCATAGTGTGATGCTAAGGTATTTTTTAATCAAAACTATCGGGAATTACTGATTAAACTGCATACTGGACTAAATTCTGTTGGTAAATTGTTTTGTCATCTACCTCAATATTTAGGGATGTTGATGAATTGCAGTTGAAATTTCAAAAATGTATCCAGATTCCAAATTGATTTAGAATTTCAAATAACATCGATGGAATTATTAAACATTAGCTGTAGCAACTAAATTCCTATAATAATCAGCTTCAACACACACACACACACACACAATACCAACTTAATCTCTATTAACCACAATTAATTAAATCTATCCAGCCATCCATCATTAAATTTCTATTCAAACAATACACAAAACACCACAACAAAATTAAGCATAAACTTTTTGTATTCATTGGCATTATCATCATCATTATGATTTAACATGTTTATCATAAATAATGAAATTTATGCAGTCGAAGGGAATTTTTTAGTCATTAGCTTTAGAATAATTGTAGTTCATTAAGCTTTATTGGAACTTTTTTTTATAGAGGATTAAAATTTTTGGAAGTGAGCATTTTTGGATGGGGATGAAATTGAATTATTGAGGTAAGAGTAGATTTAGGTGTGTTCTGAGAATCCTACCTCACTTATTTGCATGGCTGGTCTTAAAGATCAATTGTGATCCATGAACAGGACAGTGATGAAAGAATGTCAGCTTAATGTGTGGACAGACAAATAGTACAAAATAGGTGACAGAGCCAGCAACAGAGTCAGATGGAAAGCCTTTTGTTGTAGCCTAAAATCCACATGGGTTTATGATTACAGTAAGTAAGTAAGTGATCCATGACCTCGCAGAAACCAACAACCATGCCAAAATACTTAAGGTTGTCTTCAAGGCTGTTGGATTGAAAAATAATAAAATTTGCAACTGAATGTTACTCTAGATCAGTGTTGCACAAACTGTGTGCCGCATGCTGTGTGCGATTCGGTCATGGCTTACTGCTCAGAAAGTTCGGACACTAATATTGATGTTTGCAGCTCTCATATAAGACTGTCAGTGCCAAAAAATACGAAATATTCTTGATCAGCACATATCCTCTAAGTGTGAGTGGCATATAATGTTGAAAGTATCACACTTTAGACATAACTGCCAATTTTGTGACAAAATGTCTCTCACCATTAAGAATCGACCTTATAAATTCTAAATTCACATCTAAACTTCTCGCATCAACCTGACCTAGCTATTAAAACAACATCATTCTGTAATACATCAACCCCTCAGAAACTTTCATGTCCCCTCAAAAGAAAACTTCTTCTTCATTCCACCATAAATTTTTAATGTCTAATTAATTCATCAACTTGATCAGAAATGGAAATGAGAAAGGAAATGAACAAAAGTTTGAAGAAATAAAAAAATCAATAAAATTCATTTGTTTCCATTTCTGCTTCCTTCTTCCTTTTTCTTGCTTTCCTCATAAATGCCATGACATCAAAAATTTATGTGCGGCAAAAAAGGAACTAGCAACATACATACATACACACACTTACGGAGGATCAAAATTCATACATACATAGAGCTTTTCCACATCACTTGCTCTAACATGGCACAAGCAAGTAAGGCAGGCAAGCAAGCGAGGCAAATAGAAAAGGAAATAAAATAAAGAATTATGGAATGGGAATGAAAAGTAAAAGGGCACGTATGTACATATTAGGAATTGGAATAGAGAAAGTTGATGGAAAAATATTGCTCTGTAATCGGTTGCCAATGATTTTCCGCTTATTTGGGTTAAGGTCAATTGAAACAAGAAGCACAAAAAATGGGAAATTTTACAGTACACGGTAGGATTTTATCCTTTAGCTGTGCGAAATTTTACGGTGAGTACATGTTTAAGTTTGGATACGCAGTTCGAATTTATAAATTGGAAACATTTTGGGTGACTTATTATTTAGGTTAGGTATTGAAGATTCTCGTGGCTGATGAAAATGTATAAACTTTTGGGGATCATTGAGCAATTGTTTTTATAGTTGGCTCCTCCTGGATACATGATGTTATTCTAAGAAACCTCATTAAATATTCAAATTTCTGCATTTGATCCCAATTTTCTTCTTATTCTCTTCCCTATAAAATCCAATATCCATTAAATCACGCTCTAAAACCCAAAAGGACTATTACAATAAAACCATATCAAGTAAATAATGGCAATAGAATAATGAAAAACGAAAAAAAAAAGGAATTGTTGACATGTTACAATACAATTTTTGAATATACATTATTCCATATAGTTTCGGGGGCGCCTCATGAAAGGTTCATTTAGCTTACACAACATGACGGCTGGGTAGCAATGAATGTATAGCATGAAAGGAAACATGCTTTAAGAAGAAGGAGCGAAAAAAATTGAAACAGTTTTTCATATATACATAACATAAACTAATTTTAATATGCTCGTATATTATTATTATGAAACTTGAGGAGAAGGAAATAAGGAAGAAGTAGACTGCTTTATAATGTGCATTGCTATGGGGGCTTACATGCTGAACACTGTGTAATTTATACGAGTGAAAATGAAAAGCAAAATGTATGAAATAAGGGAAGGAAATTGTCAAGGGAATGCAAATTGTGGGAAAATTTATTTTTTGTGATTTTATTGCGGTTTAATGTTGGATGGGATTTAAAAACATGCTTCATAATGGATATCTGGAATTGTTTAAGGCTAAAGACCATTGCACATCACTCTTTTTTATGATTGAGAGATTTGGTGAGAATCGAACTTACCATCTTAAGTGGGAATCGAACTTACTTCTTCACAAAAATGAGTTTCAGATTTCTAATCTTGAGGCAAACGACTCTGTCATAGATGTCTTACTCTCAAACTGACAGATTCCTCTAGTGATGATTATCTTCTACACTTCAAAACGTAACTAATGTCATCAGAAATTCAAACCCAATCAACTCCTTAATCCCTAATCCCTTACCTATATCATCATCAAATTTTATTAAAATTTTAATTTCTTTTCACAACAAAAAATCATTCTCAATAAAAAATTCTCGAAACAAAATCTAATTTACTCCTCAAAAACCTCATTAAATCTACAGATAAAAAGGCACGAGCCAATATTTGCTCCCATCTGATATAAACTTTTTTATGACATTATCACAACACTCTCTAATTAATATAGTTTTTAATCTAAGCTCACATCTTGCACATCAAATCCCAAAAGCAATCAAAATAAAAAATTTCACTATGTTTGTTCTCCACACCTTGCCGGTGTATACTTTCAATACACAAATGAACATTCATCTATCTATCTCCATTATTGAATCTAGTATGAGGAAACAAGCGAGCTTTTTTTTAATAATAATAGACATGTTGTGTACTTTTTTATATGATGTTAAAAAATACATAAAATGATTAATGATTAATTTTGTTCTTTGTTGTTCGTTCGTCATGTGACTTTATGTCTGGGATGGAGTCATTGGGGAATTTTTGTCAGATTTGTGGATGTAGGTCGGGATTAGATGATTGGCTTTGGTTTTGATGTTTGACGGGGGGTTTAAAAAATATTGCAAACTCTAAACTAAGGTGTTCTGGTGAATCCTAGGGTTGTACTCTGATGATTTGAGATTGTATCTTGGGGCAGCTGATGCTGTATCTATTATGTTTATTAGATAAGAAGTTCTGATGTTACCTCTTCAAAAATCATTGAAAATAATACTAGTGTAAGCAAATTAAACTTCAGTCCACCTCATCGACATGAAAATCCACTCGAAAATCACCTCAAAGGATCTTCCTATTTTTAACATCACATATAAAAACATAAAAATAAATTTTCTCTCATTTTACTCTTCTCTTCTCTTCTACAGCACTACCGCGGCTCGTTAAAATCATTGAACACTGGCATTGTAACATTATTAAATTATGGCAAACATGTACCGCCAGCTGTGAGTCATGTTACGCTTGCTCATGAAATTGGACATAATTTTGGATCTCCGGTAAGTTTTTCTTTATTTCTCTTATCAGCAACACACGAATTCTATACAATATTAATATTATTTTGTGCGTAGATTTTTTTCCTCTCTTTCTCATGCCTTGCCATGAAGTCTTCTTACTTCTTATTCTTGTTCGTATTATTTTAACTGACAGATGAGAGATTTTTTCTCTTTATTATTATTAAATAACAATAATAAGATAAATAATAGCAACAAGATGAGATATGAAGAACAAGCAAGGTTCATGAGATGAGATTAAGAAAATGAAAATGTAATTATTAGCTTGAAGCTCTCAATCTCTTATGTTATGATGTACAAACAGTTTTCTTGGTTTATTTGGCCATGAGTAATTGAAGTTAGGAAATTGTTTATTGAGGAGGGTCAAGGTTTAAATTTATGGACTTTAAATCATGCGTATCTAGTTAAAAGCTTTATTTTAGGTGTCATGCAAATTTTGAGTGTCACTTTCGACAGGATGCCATCTTACATTTCTTCACTGGAACTAGTGAAAGCTACAATAGCTTAAAGATTGTTTACTACCCAGTGGGCCTACCTACATTGCTCTAAGATACCCCCAACTCCCGAAAAAAATTAATCTTTTATAAAAGAAAATCATAAGCTCATCCTAAAGCAATCATAAATTTCCACGGAAATGCCAAAACCCGAACACCACATTTTCTACAGCACATACAAAACATCATTAATAGCATTAAAACTAGCGAAAGCTCCAAAAAAAGTTGGTCGGTTTTAACTTCATTTTGATGAGTTTTTATGGAAAAATAAAGTTCTGATTACTACAAATTAATTTCCCACCGACATCTTTGACTAATGTTTACTCAGAATTCGATCACTCGACTTAATGGATTTAGATGATGAGCTAGTATAATTCCTGGAACTAATTTGCTTGATGAAATAGATTTTATGTGTATATTTTGAAAATTCATATTGAGAGCATTAGAGTTGCATGCTAGTCATGAGTTAAAACTTACAAAAATATCCACGAAAAACTTAACCTTACAATTAAAAATTTTATCTCAAAAAATAATTATTTTAAAACTTTATAAAATGAAATTTAAAACCGCAAAAAAAGTTTAAAATTTGTATCCACATCAGCAATTATCGTCTTCATTTATTATCCGTTAGATGTTGATCTCTCATTCCAGTTAATTCATGTTGATTTTCATTCGTTCCTTAACATACTTCCCACTTTTTTGTTACTTTTCACAAGATCCACTTATTTCATTATAATTTTCAACTCACGGAAGAGAAAAATGAAAAATCCAACTTTAATTCTTTTCAACTTTTGTGTTGTATTACATTTAAGGAAGTCAAGTATGGAAGTTATTGGGGTTAAAGGCGCATTTTTGAGGGCTTGTTTATTTGAAGCGAGAAGTTTGCAAAGCGTGAAGATAGAGTTAATTATATGAACTGCAAATTGAAATCACCATCTTAAAATCAAACCCAGCTAACTCCCAAGCATAAAGGAAGCAAGCTAAAAATAATGTTAAAAGAAAAGCAGTTTTTCTGTACATTTTACATTTCATAAACATGAAAAGGAAATGAAAAAAGAAAAAAAAAGCATTTTACGGAAAATTCTTAATTTTATGAAATCTGACACGCTCACTTCAGAAGAAGGAGATGAAAAATTGTTCATATACTTTCGTTGCTCATAAAAATAAGCATGCAGTTGGTTGGAAAAAATATGAAAAAAATTATTAAACATTTTTTTTTTGACTGATGAAATTTAATTTCATTTATTTTCTTTGAGGTTCTTCTTTATTTCTTCGTATCGGGGGGATGTTAAGTCATGTCTGTTGTTTAGAGCCATGAGATGATCTTGGAAGGAGTTTAGGGATCTTTTTACATATTCTGAAGCTGTCTTCCCCTTTCTAGCTTTGAACACAAAATCAACTCTACTTCCCCATCAAGACCCCTTCTGACCTCTAATATCTTCAAAATATAACTTCAAGTATTGCATGACTTGCAGTAATTAGTGTAAAATTTCAATATTCAGGTCGACATGATCATTTCATTGGATTATTTTAACTCCCTAATAGCGTGAAACTTAATAACATAAATTGAGTATGTAATTATCATCGTTTAATTGTATCGTGTAAATTTTATTAAAGAGCATCATGATAAAAGCTATTTGGAAAGTTTTTTCGTGGCTGCTCGATGTTTGCTTTAAATTTTATGGAAGTTTCTGCATTTAATGGGAGAAGTTTGATTGTTTCAGAACATTTACTTTAAGTTTAGAGGGTTCAAGAGCAACTGAAGGTTGTTTGATGTTTATTTACTGAATGATGGAGCTTTAAAGCATTGATTGAGACAGTTTAATGTTTGGAATTCATTTAATGACTTTTAATGGCTACAATGGCAGTTAAGAAGCCTATTAAGTGCAACCTGCAACTAGTTTCTGTCAAGTTTAATTCATAACCAGAATATAGGATATCAATTTTTGATTATCAGGGAGGTTGCCTCTTGGTAGCTTTAGAAGGAGCTTTAAGGTAAAGGTAAAGCATGGAGAGAGCCCAGTTTTCTTATCTGGAGGCACTATGATTCAAATTAGAACAGAATCTATTGTACCACGCCCTAAAAGGAGCTTTACATTTAGTAATCATCCCTTACTAATCTTGCTACCCCATTCACACGCTCATACATCTCTCAACCCCTGAATTTATTTAGAAACCAGACGAACATCCAAAAAGAAAATTTACAAGAAAACTCATCACGGAAGTTTCTCAAAATTACTTATTACTTAAATCAAAAGCACTTCATGCAGAACAAATCAAAGAGAATTTAAATGAAAATTTTATGTAAATTTCAGGAAGTTGAAATGAAAAATGTGGCAAAAAAGGAACGTAATTTAATTAAAAATTTCTGCAAATTTGAATGTCAAAAGTTTTTTTTGAATTATACAGCAATTTTCCATCAGCAAACTTCCTTGAATTATTTGTACTTAATAAATTCCTTCTATACCATTTAATTAAAGCCATATCCTCCCTTAATAAGCCAAATAAATCCCTTTCAAAAGAATTTGCATACATTTAAGGCAGGCATTTATTCACTCTAATGTGTCAGAATGCAAATAAAATATTCACCATTTTATGGCTCAGAAATTGCGTAGAGTTTATAAGATAAAATAAAGGCAAACAAACAAATAAGATACATAAATTCACATCAAGATAAAAAATTTGAAATTAAATATTTATGAAGTTGATTTTCTTTTTTTTTTCTATGAGGAAACATTTTCTGGTTGCTGTTGATTCTTTATGACTTAGGAGATGAAGGAGTAGTGAGGATATGAGGGGGATGGGGGGAGGAGGGTGCACGGAAGTGTCTAGTATTAAATTGCGAAAAGGAAAGTTTCATGCTTCGAATAAAATAAAATTTTGTTGCAAATACCCCCCCCCCCCCCCCCCCCCCCCCCCCACCCCCCTCAAAACTCCTTAACCACATCTCCTTTTATTTCAATTTCATTAAAAGGAAAAGTGAAAATATACAAAACAAAGCAAGGAACAAGAAAAATTGCACAAATAAAACTTTCTAATGCATACGTATTTGTTTGTGTATGATGCTATAAAACCTCAAATAACTCAAAAAGGCAAGCAAAAAAAGTTTTCTTTGTCCTTCCGCATTTATTCTATGCTTTTTTTCATTCTCGTCTCATCTTCATCACAATATACACAGTTTATGAATGTATGCTAGGATGAATAAATAGAGAAGTAAGTTGGGATATATTAAGGGGGTTGATAAGGTCTGGAAGCATTTTATTTGAATTGGAGGAATCTTGGATTTGTGAACAAGCTTTGGAATTACTCCCAAGTGCCATGAACTCTTGCTATGTCGATGCTTCACTCCAGGTTGTGTAGCTTCATATCCAACACAGCAACTTTTATTAAAATTCTAAGCCAGCCACCAAACTCAATGTCTTTAAACCCCAACAATCCAAAAATCTCACTACAAAGTATTTATCATATGGAAATAGAAGCTTTTGCAGCTCCAGCATTTATCATGGTCGTCATTTTTTCATTCTTCTTTTCCATCCTCTCTTCACATTCAATTTCATTTCTTATCCACATTCGTCTTCCTTTTCTACCATCTTCAATATATGTAAATATTTGTTTTTGTGACATTTTGAAAAAAATATTTTTCTTTACATCAGCCATCAGCCATCATTCGTCATTGCTATTGTGTGATTTCCTTCTTATTTTTCATCAATAAATTTTTTGACAAATAAAAAAGTTTATTTTTGCCTTTTTTGCTTCCTTTTATTTTATTTTGAAGAAAGTTTTAGAGTCGAATTTATTTTATATTGTGCCATAAGTTGAGTTGGAAGGGTTCTATGAAAATATTAAAAGGAGAAGAAAATATTTGTTCAAAAATATTATTTCGATGGAAATAAAAATTCAATAATTAAATATTTTATTTAAGAAAATTAAATGAAGTATTTAGAAGACAGTGGAACAGAAATTAAGTTTTGAAAGAAAATAGTTTTTAAGGTTAAAATTATCCTTATAAAATTTTTTTGTAACCCCTGAACGAACGCGAACGAAATATTTCAAACACATGAAGCATCATCTGTACAAGCAGACCAACACATACTCATTGTGTCTCTGTAAAAATTCGTCAATCTTTTTCGTATTGTTATGAAATTATAGAAAATAAATATAAATTTTTTTCGCATTTCGGCATTAATCTAGTTTTATTTGTGGAAGGAAACGCACTTAATATTGCAGAACTTCCACTTAATTAAGGATTTTGTGATACTTAGTTTCATAGGATTAGACAATTTATTACTTATAAATTGAGAGTAAATCTTCAATAATTTCAAAGAAAATTATCAAAAAATCAAATTTAAAGAATTCAAAAAGCTACAAAAATAAAACAAACATCTGAAAATTCAATTAAATTTGCATCAAACAAAACAATGAATCAAGAATCGACAAACCAAGTTCAAGGTCAAGAATCAGCATCAATTGTAGACACAGCCACAATTCAAA